CAAGTCAAAACCACCATACTGCAGATCCTTCACAAATCTCAGCAGGGTCAGACACATGAAAACCGAGAAAGATTTCTGTACTTGCTTGAAACTTGACTATCTTATTCACTACATAAAAGCTCATGAACAATACTACCAAAACTCACAATACATACAATGAGTATGAAAAGTACTCATGAAATACAAGTTTGAAGCAGCCATATATTGAATAAAACATATTTTTAAAGCATATACAGAAGGACTTAATATTTATATATGTAGATGTCCCATCTGTTCACTGAGCAACGCATTGCCCAACAGCAAAAATTAAATCAATGAACTGGAGAACAGGACATTTCAGAGATGTAGGAATGAGACAGCCTTTAAACTGGTGTTTATATCTTGCGCAACACACAAGTTCCTTCTCCCATTCTGGTAGAGCATTACTACAAGGCATTACTGTATACACAGACACATTTGTCACCACTGTTCAGAGAAGCAAAATTTAACTGGATGCGCAATAATGCACGCAACAGAACAGCGCCTGATAAGTCCACAAGTACAGGCTCCATGGTACAACTATCTGAGACAACAGTGGCTTAAAGAACCACAGAGTTCATTCAGGCTGTACGTGTCTGTTAAATACCATTTAGGCACTGAAATACAGACTGAAAGCACAAATTGAAAGCTTAAAAAGACAATCTGTGAAAAAACAAGTAAAAACATATTTTGAAAGTCTGCTCCTTTTTTGGATTTCCATGAAAAACAAACAAATCCTTATAATCCCCAAGTGATACATCATAGGAGAACAGTTTTAAGCCATTTCAATACGCCAATAGGGACAACAGTTTGAACCTGGCTGTGGATTTATATCAAGTGAGTAACTCATTTAACCTGTAAAAAGACAGACATAATGCTAACAAATCAGTCCCTTCTGGGCCCCTGACTAGGAAAACGGTCTGCCTTCCTTCTGCCAGCCCTGTGCTCCATCTGAGCTCATATCCACTTTAACTGCACACAGAAATGGTAATAGCTTTGGAGATTTCACAAATGTAAAAAAGTGATTCTCTTTAGTTTTCACCACCACTGAAAGAGAAGACAAGGGAAAAAAGATCAGATAAATCTGCACTACCTGAAAATGCTTCTGCAGGACTCTGCAGAAATACACAAGGGGGAAAAAAAAAAAAAAAAAAAGTAAAAAGAAAAAAGAAAAAAAGAAAGGTGGCAAAAAGGCAGCCAATACCCTGAAAAACAGATTCAGATAATAGGAAGTCTCTGCTAAGGGTGAAAAATAGCACATAAAAAGAATTTAGTCTGTTTCTGAAAACTGCATTTCCTTTTAGAACGGTCCTCTCTAATCATTTAGAGCCTCACTTCAATCTGTTCTGAATCAAAGAAACTTGGCCTGTGTTAAAGCAGAGTACAGCCATCTGGGGCTAGAAGAGAGCTAGGAGCACTGCCCAGAACTACAGGACAAAATTTCAGCAGGAAGAGGTTGGTGCCCAGCACAGGCTGCAAAAGCATGGACCTCATGCCACGGGGAGAAATGGGAAATGACTGTCAGAGACGGGGCTCTGTCCCTTGCCATCTTCCCTTTCAGGGCAGCACACATGCATCTCTACTGCGTGCTTCTGGCAGGCCAGGCACTAAAGATAAGCAGGCCAGGTCCTGCTCTTGTCAGACTGCTGGAGGGGAGGCTGCCTGTAGCCTGGCTTTGGCAGGGAGCTTGACAGACCTGCAAACGCCAAGCAGCAATGTCCTGAAAGATTTTGTTACTGCTACCTGCCTGGCCTTCTAAGTGGCAGCAGCCACACAGAGTACATGGAAATGTTTGCATGTGCTTGCCTTCATCCTCTTTCATTTATCACTCCACAAGAAACCCAGGACATAAACTTCCCTTGTAATGCTGCTCCTATACCTTTATGGTACATCCTTAACAAAATTACTAAGAACAAGCTTAAACTAGTGCATGTAACAGCAATTCTATGCAGAAGGTTCTCCCAGAAGTTCTCAAAAGATCTTAAATTCAAAAAGCCACATTCAACTTAAAAGTGAAGGGAGTATGAAGACTGTGGTAAAATTTAAAGCTCTTCTTTTTAATATTTAGTGAAATGGACTTAAATGATTTCACAAGAATCATGAATAAACACTACATAGTATTTACTGCATTTTTACAGCTTCTATTTACAACAGGTTTTTATTTTCTCGGGGCTCAGAGGTTTGACACAGCCCCATGGAGCTTTTAAAATCATTGTTTATGATAAAAATCTCCACAAGGTGGTATGCTGTACTGAGAGGAGAGGCAGCCCTAAATCACCATCTTGAAAAACACACGGTAAGTTGCACATTTTAAAAACTGCTGTAATAGTGGAAGCTAAATGTTGTTTTATCTGTTTAATGACTATTCTTTCCTTTTGTTATAACTGAGAAGTCATTATAATAGATGATATCTAAACAGCACTTTCATCTAATTTGTTCTGGTGTGCAGCTGGACAGACAACTGCTATGACTGCCAACAGTCTGAACCATAAAAGAACAAATAAGACCACCAAGATCATCACACGCAACAGGAAGACAGCCGCAAAAATGAAGTACACACATCTGCGTGGAAGTCTGGCTCTCCATGTGCAAGAAGCACCTGAATTGGCATCAGTCTCCAAATCTTCTACTACTATAATCTTGACCAGGGACCTCCTCACAATACTTAAATGCAGACTGAGAGTTTCCATCAATTACTGCCCAGCTCCACTAATGAGTCACAGGGCTATCAACTCAGACTTGTTAAGCATGAAGCAGCAGGAAACACGAGGTGTTCTGCTATTCAGACAACTGCTGTTCGGTTGTCTGGCTTTTCTAAGGAAAATCATGTCCTACAACAGAAGATGAAGATGACTGGGCATTCCCCCATTACACACTCAGCCTTGAGATATGTATTATGATACTGACACACCGAAAGCCCTACTAAGACTTAAGAAAAAAAATCAGTTTATCACTGCAAAGGAAAGCATCGTAAACATGTTTCAAAATTCCCCTTCTAGTTTCAACCTTCCACTGTAAGCCAGCATGTCTGCTTGCATCAATGTAATCATTAAGTAAGGGTATGGTATTAGTTTGTCATTACAGATATAACCTGCATTTTCATCCAGCTAATACACAGCAGTATCTATTAGAATCCCCCTTACCACTAAAACCCCAGTTTTTTGCTTAAATGAAGTCTCTGAATAGTATGGAAGTAGAGCCAGTTGCCAACCTGAGTGCAAGTCACTAGGAAAACTCTGCTTGTGTTTCCAAAACTTAGCTCAGAAGTACATTCTGCTCCTTTCACCTGAGGGTTTGCTGCTCTCGCGTGCAGAAGAATGAGCTTTTCGCTTCTAGGCAGCTTGTCACATCAACACCACCACCGCACTGTTCTGCAGTCTTACGCCAAAGTAACTGTTGTGCTGGACAAGGCTGGATTGTGGTAGGTTTATTTTACAACAGGTGACTTACTGCTATTATATTTTTACCTTAAAATTGCTTAATGCAATGTAAAAGTAGCATGCTCTATTAGCAATAAAAGCATACGTTTTAAAAGACATTAAGTCAGATCTCAAAAGACTGTATTTAACATATCAAGCCTCCTTACGCTAAAATGTGAGAAAAAGAGGAGTTTCCCTGCAAGGTTTCCTGGTTAACAATCAGCCACCAAGTTGGACAAACAGAATACTCAGATGTAAACTACCAAGGGACAAGTCAGCAGGCAGTTCACTATTTTCACTGCTCCTAGTCCACATCAGGTAAACCTAGGCAGTCTTCCCCAGACCCACACATTGTGGCTCATCCCCAGGGGCAACCATGTTCACTCACTCCACCTGGGCATGGATTTAAACTGCACGAAGTCCCAGTGAACTTGCACTATGCAGCTGCAGAATTCAGGAAGCCTGGGCACATAATCAGCATTTCTGCAACCAACTGCAAGTGGCATTTTAGGTAAAAAGATCCTGCTTTGTGGGTAAAGCTTGGGAGAGTACTGCTGCATTTATCTACTGTGTGGTCACGCTTCTCATTTCAAGCCCTTTCACGAAGGGCTTAACATGCAACATTTGCATACAGTTCTCAATATTGTTAAAAATTAAATGCATGTTCTCTCTGACCTGAGCTATTAGACAGCAAACACTGGTTTTAACAACCTATTCCAATTTTAAGTGAAACCTGTAAGCCAGGTTGATTATTTCTTTCCTGATTTACTTGCAACAACTCTGCCCAAGAGAGATAAAACTCTTTTTTGCCAGCAGGCCACTGCTCCTCCCCATCCGTGCTTGCCTGAAAGGTGCCCCCACACCTGCGGTGAAGGCCGTGATCCCGATGCCTCATTTGGACTCCCCGGTCTTGCTCTCCCCACCCTTGCTGTGAAATTCCCAGTTTCTCCTTTTTTTTTTTTTTTTTTTTTTGTGCATATATATTGATAAAGCACAGCAGAGTAGGCCCGTTCACTGCACATCTTGCTCGATATACGTGACAAAACGCACAAAGACCTGAATTAACTAACGGCTGCTATCATCCACCTTACCGCGAGGGACTGTAACCATTTATTACTCGGCCCATACAGTCCAAGGTTAAGCCCGTATCGAGGACTAGGCAGCACAGACCCATTTCAAAGCGCGCCGACGGCACTGCCCTGCCAGGATCCGCATGCCACTAGGTCACCTCCACGGAAAAGCTCAATCTCGCACCCACGAGTAAGCCCAGCCGGTACCGGGTCACCCACGCCAGCCGCGGGGGCGGCGAAGCCCAACAATGCCGGACTCGCTTCCCAGGCGGCAAGGCGGGCCCCGCCGCTTCTCCTCCGGCTCCCTGCGCCCGCGGCGGGCGGTGGCAGGGCCGCGGGGAGCCCCCTCACGGGGACGCTCGGTCACGAACGGCTCCCCGAGCAGGGTGGGGCAGCGGCGGCGGCGCCGCCGCCAGTTCCGGGCCCTCCGCGACCCCCGCGCTGGCCTGCCCAGGCCGCCCCGTCCCGTCCCGGTCCCGGTCCCGCCCGTTACCTGCGGGCGGCCGATCCCGGTGGGAGGCCGCGGCCCGTCGGGCAGCCAGCAGCGCCGCCAGCGCCAGCAGGGCCAGCGGCACGCGCATGGCGGCCGGGGTCGCGCGCAGCGGCACCGACACCGGAGTGTAGGGGGGTGGGGGGGGGGGGGGGGGCGTCTGCAGCAGCTCACGCTCTCCCACCGCGACCCGCTCGCCTCAGCCCCGCGCCTGCGCACTGCGCGCCCCGCGGGCGACAGCCGGGAAGGGGCGGGCGGCTCCTCCCCCGGCGCCGGGCGGGCTGGGCCGGGGCGGGGCGGGCGGGGCGGAGGGGTCACTGACGGGCAGCGGCGGGTTTCTGGGCTGCCCTGCCGCCGGTGTTCCGGCCGGTCCGCCTGCCTGCCTGCCGCCCCGGGCAGGGGGAGGAGGCCGCCGGAGCCGGGGGGAGCTGCGGCCTGGGGGCCGCCGCGCCGCCGTGCTGGTGGTGGGATCTCAGCCGCCGCGATGGCCTGGCTTTATTAGTCCTGCAATAAAACAGCCAGTGATTTCATCATTCAGGGAACTAAATTTTCAAGATTTTTTTTTTTTTTTTTCCTCCTTGGAAACACTTTATACAAGAGCCAGGCTTTGTTAATTTTCTGTTTTAAGTGCTGATACTGTGTCCTACCTCTCAGCTGCTGAAAAAGCATCTGCCTCCTCCTTGTAATTTCTTAAAACACGATGCGTTCCTCCTGTGGAGTTCTTCAGAAACTCTGCTTTTCATTCATACACGTAGAGGAAGCCTAATTTATGCTGAAAGATTTTATTATTTCTTGCAAATTACCTAAATGTACATGCCCTTCAAAAAATTAAGCGAAGTGCTGCCAAGCGAGATGGTGATTGCAGCTTCTTCTGCCTTCCTGTTTCTATGTCTCCCACCCAGTGGCCCCATGCCAGGTAATTCTGTGTCTTAACCATTTACCATCAAGGCAGTGCTGGGTGAGGTGAGGAGGACACAAGGAACCTCTTCTGCTGCACACCTCCCCAGCTGTAAGGTGGATATTGCAGGTTTTTAAGCTGCTGTCAGAGATTCTGCAAATAACACTTTTTCTAGACCTAAAATGGAGGCAGCTTGATGGATCCTTGACACACACGCTTCTTCCCAGGCTTTCAGAGAGACAGAAAGGAGGAAACAGAGCTGCTGGCCAGAGCCACTATGCTTCCCCTTTTTCACGCCTCTCTCAGTAAAAGTTAATTCAGCTGCTCCCCTCACTTTTATTTCCTATCCCAAACTTTAGTGCATTTCCTGGAAAAGGATGTGGAGGAATTGCTTTCCTTGCCATCTGTATTTCCAAAACTGAGGAAACAACATGATTTGCTGTGTGGGACAGAATGAGGAGAGGGGAGACTGCAAGCCCGCATGGCTGCTGAAGAAAAGGCCCCGCTGGTATGGTCTCAGAAATGGTGGTGTCCCCACAGGTGATGAGGTGGTGCTGTGGAGTGTAGGGTCAGTGTGGGTGCCGGCATCTCCTCCCAGCCGAAGCAAGGCTGAAGAAGATGGATTGTGAAACTACGCCCACGCGCTGGGCTTTGTGCTTAATGAAGTAATGAGCCTCACAACCAACAAGTGCTTAACTGTCTTGATTGAAATACTGGCCGCTCACTGGCACGTGGATTTTAACTTCCTGAATGGTGGCGTGCTTGCATGATATTTTCTAACACATAACAATATGACAAGAGAAAACGACCTCTAGCTGCACCAGGGAAGGTTTAGATTGTCTATTAGTCAAAATTCAGGGTTGTCAAGCGCTGGAACAGGCTGCCCAGGGAAGTGGTTGAGTCACTATCCCTGGAGATATTTTAAAGAAGTGCAGACGTGCTTAGGGACATGGTGTAGTGGTGGACTCGGTAGTGTTACGTTAACAGTTGGAGTTGATGATCTTAAAGGTCTTTTCCAACATAAATGATTCTATGATTGAAATGGTATTTTACACAAAAGTAAGTGAAAAGAAGGAATCACCTGCTCTGAATAGAGATTAGGTGTTCTGACTCATACCAAAGGCTGAGCATGTGCCTAAAGTAGATGTCACATCAACAGAGCTTAATAAGGTGAGGGTTTTTTTATGACGATACTGCACAGACTTGAAGGAACATTATGAAAGGTGAAAACAATTAATAAAAATTAAGTCAGCTCTCTACAGAGAAATTAAGGAAATGTAATTCTGGTTATGAGAGCTGTCCGCAGCACACCTTCTGCCTGTGCCTCCAGAACCCCTGCACACAGCTCCTGGCAGGGGCTGCTCTCTCTCTGCAGCCAGTGGAGTCCATCCTCACCTAAACATTACAAACTTGCTAACATTTTTCCTTGTCTTGATTGGAAAATAAGAAGAAGGAAAAAAAAAGGATTTGGGCATTATCATGTAAAGCATCTTGTAACTTCCTCCTTTGTGCTCCTTTTCATGCTCAGCCCAAGTGGTGGTCACATGCCTCTGTGCGAAAGCTCTTGACAAGATAAACAGCTTCTCACATCCTGGGACAAATTTCCACAGTCTTTTGCTTTTTTGTTTGTTTGTGTGTTTGTTTTTTAGCTATCACTTAATTGTGTCACAGAGTTATCATGCCTTCATGTGCACATGCAGTAGTGCTCCTTGGGGCTCTGCTGTCTTTGCAGAAGTAGGTACAGGATCTTCACCTTGCTTAATCTGAAATGCCTACTCTTCTGGTTCATCACGACAGTCAATGCAGTTACCTACATGTTTTCTCACAAACCAGGCTACATTCTGGACCTTCAGGGTTTTGGCTTTGAAATACTGCCCAGGCTCCTTCAAAAAACTAAGGTAGGCACAGTATCAGTGTGCAAACAAGTCTGGAGCCTGTATGAAGCTGTATAAGAATACTCTTAGGAAAGGCATATTTCAAAGGTAGCGCTACCTTTTCTCTTTTCAAAGAGAAATCACAGACACAAGTAATTTATCTCTAACCAGAGCTTTTCCCCAGTGATTAAAGGCACTGTCGATGTTCACCTTCAAAGGTAAAAATAATCAAACACCCCCCACCCCCTCAAAAAAAAGTGCTCGTTAGTGATCATTTAGCTTCTGTACCTTCCATGAATCTGTTAGGAAGTTCAGTGATCTTCTCATACAGACTTATGGTAAAAATACACATTGTGATCTTGCAGGAGTGTCATTCCTAACTCTCTAGCAGTCATTTCAAATATCTGCCCATTTTAATTCCCCTTGGCTACCCATTCTTTCCAAATTCATAGTTCCAGGAACCAGAGAACTGCATCAATGAGATCTGAAGCATTCTAAGCTGTGGTCTTGTCACAGACTTTTATCACTTGTTGCAGAAGAGAAAGAGGATGTCCCACTACCCTGGAAATTATCTATATCCTAGGATTAAAGCTCTTTTAAATGCCTATGCTGCACATCCTGTAATTGCCCTCGCACTGAATCCTGGAGTAAGTAGATAAATAATGCACCATGGCAGTTGTGGTATCACCAGTTGCTGTTGTTGGTCTAGCAGCAGCTGAGCTAGGGTGGTCACCTCTCCAGTAGAGCAGCAGCAATGAACACTACTTAGAAGTCAACCACCAAATCAAAGACAACAGGTTTATTTCAGGCCAAGGAAAGTACCTGCCTGAATCTTAAGGTAACAGAAAACAAAGAAGGGTAGCAAGGCTAGATTAAGAAGACAGGGTTGTGAGCTGATGAGCAAGTCTCTCAAAAGCTGCAGTGTTCTCAGCGTGCTCTGCTGTAGCTGCTGTGGTGGCAGATGACCTTTCATGCTTTGTTACTTGTGTTTGTCTAATGCATGTGTGATCTGATATGCACCCTGAGACAAAATGAGCCTAATGGACAGTAATGCAGACTAGCTTCTGCATGACAGCCAATCTGCTCTCAGGCTGGGAGAGACACCCTGATGGTTCGGCTTGGAGAGGTGAGTCATTAACCTTCATCAGTAAAAGGAGAGGGCCTAAATTTAGTTGGAGCTCTGAACGAGGTAAAAGAAGAAGAAACAGGAGTTTCTTACTTGTTTAAATGTATTTGAACATTCTGAGACCCTTAAGAGAAAGCTAGAGACAATTACTGCTTTTGGGAGGTGTGTTGTTTGTTTGTTTTTCATTTGGTTTTGGTTTAATTCCTAATACTGTAGTCTTTTGTGGTTTATGCATGAAGTTATAGTGAAAACCTTACTGTGTGTTAGTGTAGTTGCTGGTGCCATCTCCAGATGCAGATCTGAGTAAAAGGCTAACCACCTTGCTTGGCAAAAATGACACTGTTATGGAAATTAGACTAATCTGCTCTTTTGGTTAAGAGGTGTATTGGGTTTGCATGGCAAGGTTTTGGTAGCAGGGCGGGGATACAGGGGTGGATTCTGTGAGAAGCTGTTGGAAGCTTCCCCAATGTCCAACAGAGCCAATGCAGCTGCCTCCAAGATGGACCTGCCACTGGCCAAGGCTGAGCCCATCAGTGACAGTGGTGGTGCCTCTGGGATAACGTGTTTAAGAAGGGGGAAAAGTTGCTGCACAAGTGCAATTTCAGCCGGAGAGAGGAGTGAGAACATGTGAGAGCAACAGCCCTGCAGACACCAAAGCCAGTGGAGAAGGAGGGGGAGGAGGTGCTCCAGGTGCCGGAGCAGAGATTCCCCTGCAGCCCGTGGTGAAGACCATGGTGAGGCAGGCTGTGCCCCTGCAGCCCATGGTTAAGACTACGGTGGAGCAGATACCCACCTGCAGCCCGTGGAGGACCCCACACCGGAGCTGGTGGATGTGCCCAAAGGAGGCTGTGACCCAGTAGGAAGCCCACACTGGAGCAGGCTCCTGGCAGGACCTGTGGACCCATGGAGAGGGGAGCCCACGCTGGAGCAGGTTTGCTGACACATCAGCTGAAGCCAAAACAAACAGTTGGTCTTTATTCTATACAATAATTTTTTGTGTTGGGAAACTTGCTGTTAGTGAGCTGTATGCTAATTAACAAGACTGTGGACAGTGGTACCAGATTTATTTTTTTTTTTAATCAGTTGTCAGGCTAATCAATTGTAAGTGTGCAGAATCCAGCAGAGAGAGGGAAATACAAACTCCAGCATTTGAGGAAGCAGATAGATGCGTTGCACTGCGCTGCTCACCTCTGTCCCAAGAGGATAAAACCAGTCAGGAACAGGTGCTGAAGGAAGCTATTCTGATCAGCGGTTGAAAGCAGGTATCCTCTCTTCTGAGAAGAGGCTAAAAATACTTGTCTTGTCTACTCTGGTAAAAGAAAA